CCATTCCAACTCGATCAGGAAAAGCACGGCTCTAGATGCGTACTTTATACAAATAGCAATAGGCATTAGGATGAAGCACCATGAAGTTGGCAAACGTAGAGTTCTGGATCTACATACTTGTGTTTCACTAAGTTGAGACTCGATGGGCTCGTGGCCTGTTGACTTGATTGCATTATTTTGACTCAGCTTTGTCCTCTACGTATTAATCCTCTACTATTTTTGCTACTCGAAGTGTATTCCCCAATTAGCTTGGTATTGTCACTCTCAAACTGTCTGTAAGGCGTCCACGAAATACTGTTGAATTTCATTATGTAGTTATGAAATGCATTAGTCGAATTATTTTGCCCTCCTTCGTCGGTATTGGTGGTTTTCCGCATTCGTAATAATCTACAATCTTCGATGCGGTCGAACAGCGGTATTTGTACAGAGCTTAGACCACTTTTTTAATCTCATCATTATTTACTTTTGAAAGCAACACAGTTTGGCTCGATTATGAGGCTAACTATGCGTTCATCGTTTTTTTCCTTACTGTGACAACACTTTAGGGGCCCTGTTTTCAAGTTTTGCATTAGTTGTGTCCTTCTGTTAAACTGCCCATTCTGCAAAATGGTTTTGAAAGTCGTGCCTGCAGTTACGAGTGTCAGCTATGTCATTGATCCAAGTCATTGCTTTCTCCTCGGCATAGTCTTCTTTTCTTCTCATCTTTCACAGAAGTCAGAGTTCTTGTGCTTCAAAGTTTTGCATAAAACTATACCATGTTTGATTGGATCGTTGAGGAAGGTAGTTATCTTAAAGCCAGTTAATTTTCATCCGTTAATACCTTGCAAAAGGAGGAGAAACTGCAGTAGTTAGATAGGCGTCCGTTTGCGATTATATGCAAATGCTTTTCCTCTGGGTCTTTCTCAAAGTACAGGTCAGTGTAATTTCCGAGTGCATGGGTTGACGAAGTCACGCTCTGTGACAATATGATTCTGTGCAAGCACTTTACTTAGTCGAATTTTTCCACCTTGTAAAGTAGCAAACCCCTTGGGTGTGCTATGGTATCGCCCGTCCTTAGGGCACTTTACTTGGGATTGCGCTGGAGATGTTATCTGGGCTAACTGTTGTTTTGACTGCTAGAACAGTGGATTGCGCTCAAACTGTGCGCATTCACCGACAATTGCGTAATAGATATATTTGTGCATTAGGCGGGTAAGTAACCGGCAGTGTAAGTAATGGTCATTCACTGTTCTTGCGTCTGTAGAAAATCCAGCATCGCCACCTTCCGTGTCGAATGGGCGTGGAACTCCTCGCACGCTGACTGGTGGATCTACCACTTATGACAGCTACGATACTCAAGTGAACTTCCTCAACTCTATCATTATCGACCTGCACGCAAAAAATGCTGAACTAGAGCAACGGCTTCGTGACGCCATTGAACATGCTGGCGGAGTCGGCACCGGTGAAAAGTCAGGGTGATCTTCCCTGGTTGAAATTTTTGATGCTAACATCTCTCACGAAATAAAATTTAGCTGTTTTTTTACCTCGCGAATTCGAGCTCAAAATACATTGGAACTATTAAGATTATGCTTGATTGTCAGCATTGCTGCCTTGTTGTCGCATTCATAGAGGCTTGTTGTTCTCGAAAACCTTGCATACCATATTTGTCTACTTGAGTTAAAGCTCTCCTTTTAAAGTTTGGTTTTTTTGTTCCTGTCGCCCCGAGGATTTAGTGATATTGACTTGCTTTCTCGTTTCTCGTTGGGCCTTCACTGTAAGGTCGGTGATTTTAGGTGGAAG